GGTGTAAATAGAATGCAAAGGTGTACAACATCCTGACAAAGGATTGGAACTGGATAGTGCTTAACATAGCTGATACAGACACCGCTTTTTTAAATCAAATCAGGACATCCCAAGTGTATAGAGCAGTGAAGGAATTCGGTACTAAAGATGTAAGTTGGTTATGCAATAACATATTTTATTCAGAGTGGAGTCTGAACAAGCATGGCTTTCCACCAGAGGAGCTTCTGTGGCTCTGAGCCCAAACAGCGCAAAAACATCTCAGTCTTTGCAAAAATAAGACTCCAAAAAAGCCAAGATCCTTTTAATGCAGCAAATTGACAAAAATGCTCCACAGAGAGCACATCAAGGGGGATGAATTATGCATTTTTGATGCCCCAAGGGAAGCCTAATTTAGAGCAACATCTATCATAATACTGGGTCCCACATACACATCAGCCATTACATAATGGCATAGGCCTTCACCCTTGCTGCAAGGTTTGAGACAAGGCCATTATACTGTGGTGCGGGTCCATGCCTGCCAGGAGAAGGTTCCAGAGTAGATAGAGCAGCCCCCAAGGGGACATGCGGGCGTCCAGGTTACGCAATGCCACTGAACAAGAGGCGCAAGCTCAAGAAATGAGCTTATATAACAGAGACAGCACATTCACACAGCTTGTAGGGTAGCCAGGCAGAAAAATACAGGCTACCCTACCATGTGGGAAGGAAAAGCATGAAGGAGAAAAATAAAAGAGAGAAAGCGGATGAATGAAAAATTGGAGTTACGGCTGCACAATATGGATAAAACACCAATCTTGCAATTATACTGATGCATACTGCAATTGCAAAAAAAAGGTAATGGTAATAATGGGAGACACAGAACTGAAATGAAAGTGAGTGAAAATGAAACAGGTGTCAGAAGGAACGGAACACTCTTCCACTACTGAACTAGTTTAATGTGTGGACAGAAAACAGTGCAGGAGCGATGCGAATATGGACGTCCTCTCTCATTACCATGCATAAAGTGATCTGAGAGCCTGACTCACTTTTTACGTACAGTCAGGGAGGAATGCAGGCCCTGAGGGCATAAAGAAAGAAGCAGACGAATAGCAAGATCGACAGCGAGTGAAGCCAGCCTCATTCTGAAGTCACTAAAGTCTTACGTCAGCTCCTGGTTAGTTCATTGTCATGCAAGACGGTGCTGGATCCTGTTAGTGGAGGACAACATGATGGAGCACTTTGGCTCTTTTTTCCTCTCCTGTTCAACCTTTCTTTCTGTTCACCCTCCAATCCACCCACCCCATCTCTCACAGACCAAGACAGGCAGCTCAGTAGAAACCAACACATTCCCACACTCAAGCACTGGGTATTATTTCTATCTGCTTCTCTGATTTCACATTAGCTCTAACTAAATAAAAAATATTATTATTAATTTAAAACTGAAAAAAATAATAGCAACAATTTTTGAATTATCATTACTGTATTGAATGTCAAGTAGGATTGATCGACTGATATGGAAATCGCAATTTGATAGACTACAATGATAAAACCGCATAAGCTGTACTTACTGTACTTACACTGAGCATTCAAACCTCAAGTCCAAGGTTACCAAGGTTGCCAAGTTATGACAGTTCACTTTGATATTTACAGGTTTGCAAAGCCCGGATGTATCATTTTGGGCACAAAGGATAAAGAAGAAAATATATAAGCTCACCACTAGATTCACAGGAACTAACAGCAGGAAGCGACCGCTGTGATTTATGAGAGACTATAGGCTATTGATTTTTGGAACCCTGTGTACACTTTTATTATGACCATCTAAGCTACTCAGACTCCTGTGAATGACCCACATGAGATTTAGTTAAGAGAATCCTTTCCCAAGCATTCAGTTAAGTCAAAACTTATTTCTGTTATGAGCTAAAGGAAGCTCTGAAGAAGGAAAATTAAGATGGAATACGGCTTTATGCACCATCCATTTGAAAAGTAGCTGTTTTCCGCCAACCTTCACAACAGCTGTCCAGCTGCAAGAATAGTTGCAGGATCACCTATCAATAAAGAGATAAACAGAGTAATAAAATGTTCAGCCTAAGCCTTCAAAATGCTTCACTCCAGACAGCGGCTAACCACTTAGGTTTGAAACAGGATACACTTAACCAAAGAGAAAAAAATGCCTATAACCTCATTTGGAAATACCATTTAGGCCAAGTTTTACAGACAGAGGACGTACGGTAAAACCAATCAACCTTTTTATAATACCAAAGTTCATTTAAATTCCTAATATGCTAAATATTAGTAAATACAATGTCAAAACATCAAATAAATTAAAAGTATTCTGACTGTGTTTAAAAACACTATAAAACATTTCACACAAAACCGTTTTCTATGCTTGTTTACATTACACAAGTTAGTCCTTACATTATAAAGTAGTGTCTAATCTGAGTACTGCTCCTCTCTTTCTCTCAGAGTCAAGCACGTATGAGCGAAAGTATGAGGCTGGGTGAGAAATGCTCAGATGTTTCAGCATCAGACGTACTGGAGCAGCAACGTCCAAGTGGGACGTCATCAGAGCTCCAGGACAGGGAGGAGCGGAACACACCCATGACTGACCACAGCTGCCGGGCGATAATATTAGCACACTCCACTTCATTCATCCTGCCCAGCTGCCCTATGACGTACACTGAGCCACTGGGTTCAGGCCCAGACCCTGGAGAATCTACTGTCACCACAGCCTTAACCTCTCAGAGGCGTAATGGACACACATCTATTTTATATTATCATGGGATTGTTTAAACGTACACTACGTTGTATTATATTGATAAGACTTTTTATTAAACCTCTTGTATTTATTTGACATTGGAACAATCAACTACAGTTTAAATAAATCTGAAATGATCATCAGCACTACTGCTGTTTACTGTTCAGTAGCCTAAATGTGTTTTCTGGAGCATGTTTTGCAGGGAGACTGAAGCAGTAGGCTGTGTATTTCAACTATGGCTTTATGTACATTTATCTAATTTTCCTTGTTTGTTCATGCCCCTGGTCACACAAAGCACAATCTACCACATTCTTTCATTTTTAAAAAAAATATTGCCTTTCCATAATTCTCCATGAAAATGTAATTACTTTTTTTCTCGCCTACAATTCATCTAAGTTTTGATTGTCACTTTTTTAATAATACGCAATAATATAATATTTAGCCTCCAACTCCTACCTATCATTGTGCAAAAATGCTCAGTTAGCACAGAAACCCTCCCTGATACAGTATTTCACCTGAAAATACATCACAGTACAGAAGGAATGTGGGCTAGGATTTTTGTGATTCACATTGCCTTTAAAAAGATGGTCGTACATGGATATCAAAATTACTGCACTTTAAAACAGTACAGTTATAATTGGGTTTTATAAAGTGATATAGCATTAAAAATGAAAAATGTCTTAACCCCAGTTGACTGCACTGGGGCTAAAGCTAAAAGAAACTACTCAGAAATGGGATAATGACAGCACATCACACCAGTGTCAAGACCCCCATTAGCTTTCAGCAGATTCAGTGATCCAAATACCAAACAAGTGATTTAGTGTCCTTGGTGAAGTGTAATCTGATGGTGTCTAGCCAGTGTAAAGTTCTCTGTTTTTTCCCCAATTTAGTGATTTGAGGGACATTGCTAGTGCAAGCCCATAAGATGAACTGCTGCGAAAGCTGCACTTGCTGTTATATAACCCTGCTTCCACTGACCCCATTGATTTTAACCTCCTGCCAGCTTTGCAGACATCATGAGTTACTGCTCAATTGCTGAGCTCCACACCATGTAAAGAAGAATATGATATTTTCATCAGTCTCTGTTCACCACACAGTCACTTTACCACCGGCTCACCTTATAAATAAAAGAGAAGAGATAATAAGGTCAAGTATCAGAGGGATAATAATAGTTTGTGCTCTTCCCGGCCCAGCGCAGCCAGTAATTGAGACATATCAAAGAATGGGAAGTACAATAGAGCACAATGTCAGTCAAAATTTAATTCTGGGCACAAAAGAACAGAAATGAGCAGGACAAAAATAGGGATGCTACTGTTTCCATTACAGTATAAAATCCCAGAAGCCTGACCAAACCAAGAATCCACTGACAGCTGTGAAAAGAATGCACAGACTGCAAAAAAAAGTAAAAGAGAAATAATAATATTAAATAGTTCCTCATCTGGCTGAGAGTGTTTATAAGCAGTCAATTAGAACAAGACAGATGACCACAAAGAGGATCAGAGCAAAGCTGCTGTCTGTGTCATCTCTGGGTAGTAATATTTTTATACTCAAAACTGACCATCACTGCAGACCATCATGTACAGTTAGGAGGTTAAAATACATTGATTCTCTTATTCCTCAGGTTACAATATGAATCAATTCAGTATATGTACTATATTAGAGCATTTTGCAAATAAAGTGTTTTTGTTTCCTCATTGCTTTGGTCAAATATCAATGATGAAACTCATTTTAGGGTGATCTTTTGACAATAATTAGGGTTTTCATTTGTGCTGATCTTAAAGAAATCTTAATTTGTTGAAGCTGTAATCTGAAATAGAAATAGAAATATTTTTGCTGGATGTATAAATCTCATCAACAGTAGTCTAATACTAAACATAGTGTTACAAATCAAAATTGTGGCGTTATATACCCCGTGTAAACTAATTTAACTGAGAAAGAAAATCAAAGCTTGGAGAAAGTTAAAGCTGTACATCTGTCATTAAGAGTTCTGCTGTAACCTGAGAAGCTTTTATTTTGGAAATGAGGGCTAAATCAGAATCCACATGCTACCGTGATGCTACTGTGCGCGCTTGAGTTTTGGAATTCAGTAAACACTTTCAGCACTGCCGCCTATGGTGCGCAGGTTAACTTTACTTCACTTTTTAATGACTTACATCGGATTTTGTATTATACTTCAATGCAGGCATGTAATATAATAACAGATGAGACTGTGACAAGTTACTAGCCTAATCAGCTCATTTAGAGAACAAACCTGAATGAGCGAACTTACCGAAATACACGGTCTTCTCGCACTTAGGACACTTAGACGCCATGCTCGAGCTCTCTGTTTGAATAATCAAACGAAATTACGTAGGTATAAATGGAGCTTTCAGGGTCTCTTACTCCCGCGCTTGCATTTCACTGAGCCTGGGAGCATCCCACTCTGAATACGGCTCTATATTTGCATAGCTACGCCCCCTCGCAGGTTATCCGCTGCTCTGGTTCGCCCGCTCGCGGATGGGCGGGGCCAAAAGGGGCATCCATTCTGTGCCACCGGAGTCTCTCTCTTTCAGCTCGCATTTTTTCCCCTCTTTTTTCCACCCTTGAGCGCATCCAACAAAAGCCCCTTTCACTGCTTATGAATAGGGATTCTTCGGCACATGCCAGACCGTTACTATTTGAAATGTCTGCGAATGATATTGGCAGGTCCGTCAGGCTAGTCTTGTTTTTCTTAGGTCACACTTGCAAATGTGATGTTTTTATGACCAATTTGGCCACTTATAAAATTTTTCCATGGTCAAAAATGTCCATACATATTTTTTCCAAGTTCTTTTTTTAGATATAGTCTGCTCCCACACTCACTTCTCACCACTCCCAGCTCCTCCTCCTCCTCCTCCTTACTGCCTTTATCATTCACCAAAGGAAATTATGTGCTTGTTTCCAGAGTGTGATGGTGTTAGCTCACACGTTCAGTCGCAGACACACACACACACACACACACACACACACACACGCCCATGGATTCTGACAGTAAGCAGGTCCAAGCATTGAGAACAGTCATCCTGCAGCCCAAAGCATAGGTTTCTCACACTATAGGCGTGTGTGAGACCACTTCATCTTATCTGTTTAATGATAAGCCACTCAGTGTTTTCAAAAGGTCCCCTGAAACCTAAATCTAAACACCCTCTTCTGCTGGCTGTATAAAGTAAATTTGTGTCATGTTTACAGATTGTAGTGCTAGTCGTTTCCAAGTCAATAAGTTTTTGCTATTAAGTGAGTGCTGCTTTGCGTGGCTTTGCAGTACAGAGGACTGCTGCATAAGCACTGCAGAGCACAACTGTGAACCAGGCTGACCATAAACATTCATTTGGGATGTAGAAAATCTTACATTAGGGTGCAACTTAAAGGGGCCGTGTCTTACATTTTATTTGGATTTTATTATTTCCTCCCCTTGAGGTCCACTTGTAATGTTTGTGTGGGTTTTATATGTTATAAATAGTGTGTATTTTATTGCTGTGCCTTTAAGATAAAAAAAATTAAATAATCTCTTTTCTGGATGGCCCTAGACCATATCTACAATTATTGTCTATTTCATCAGGTCCACTTACCATATAGGTGCACTTTAAAGTTCTGCGATTATAGATTGTAGTCCATCTTTGTGATTTGTTTTTGTTTTTTCTTTCTGCCGTTCTTCAATGGTCCAGCACAGGACCACCACAGAGCAGGTGTTATTAGGGTGGGGGAACTTTCTTAGCACATCAGTGGTGACACTGACATAGGTCCTGACTGAGGTCCTGTGGGGGTCCCGACCATTGATGAATGGGTGCACTACAATCTGTAATTCTAGAATTACAATATGCACCTACAGTCATATGCAGAAATGTGAACAGCCCAAGTCAAATTACATTTTGTTAACATATAAGTGGGAAATTAAAAATTAATACATTCTCTACAGAGAACTTAAATATGGCATTTCTGTGCAAACTTTAGTGCACAATTTCTATAATCAAAAAATAAATAATAAAACACGAAATGTCACTTTTCTGTTATGTTATTTTATGTGAAATTCAGCAAATAAAGAAAGAAAAATAACATGGCCAGTGAGTGTATGTAAATTAACTGATTTTTGTGACATTCCAAAAACTGAATAGAAAATGGTCTGTTTTTGCGGTTTAATTTCTTTATATGGACTATAAGGACTGCAGAATAAAGGCCACAGAATCTCACACCAGCCTGAAACTATTTATACTGGATCTAAAACTATTGCAGTTTAATTTACAAAACAGTGCTGTTTAATTTCTGTGGCATGTTCATTACATGCTTCACTGATGCCTCTCTCACCTTCTGTGTTCTTATCCTCAGGGTGAACAGGTGCCAAAGCCCCTTAATCATAAATGTCTGCATGCTCTCTGCATTTACACCCTCTCCACCCAGGATTAAGGCCCTGAGTAAGTGAACACTTGTGCCAATGCAATACTGTTCTCTGTGCGTGCCCCTCCTAAACTGGCATCAACCCACTCAGCAACAGCAGGACCACATTATGTTTCATGTAGCGTTTGAAAAATCTGCATCCTTAAAGTATACGCGCATGTTTTCAGAAGGATACCAGAAATAGCAGTGGAATTCCAAGGGTGTGGTGGCTTGCATGTGTCCTTACACTTAAATGAGAGATCGAGACAGAAACGTCTGCTATTCTAGAGCAATAAAAACATTCTGAATACCTTCCGTCTCAGTTGAGGTCTTCAGCAGTGTTACTACTGCACACTGTGTTAGTCACTAAAAAGGACTAAGAGCGGAAAGTCTTATCAGGTCTTAGGGAGAACGTTACAGACTAACAGTCTCAGAGAAGAGCAGCAGGTGTCTGTGCAGGCTGATAAAACTGACACAGAGCAGATTCAGTTTTTCTAAACTCTGTCATCAGTGTCCATCAGTCACATAGGAATGAGCAGCAAGAAGGGGTTTTATTTGAAATAAAGACTCTTACCTTAATGATTTTTTTAAAGCGATTTTTTTGGCATTCAGATTTTCACAATTTTCAAGCTTTGAGATGGCTATTACTGTGGTTTTTAGCTGTGTTATGTGCTTGTGTCCAATTCATAGATACACAGATAAAAGTATCTATGTTTACATGCACAATAGAATGACCAATATCTTAAAAACACTCTTAAAAATAATGGATTCCAAAAGGGTTCTTTGTGCAGTGCCATAGAACAGCCATTTTGAGTTCCTTAAAAATCTTGCAATGGATGAAGGACCTTTTTAAAGTTTAAAGAACCTCCACATGATGTAAAGGTTCAAGGAAGAACCCTTAAATTGGTATAGAACCTTTATATTGTGTGACGGATCTTTAAACCTTTAAAAGTTTCTTCACACTCACAAACCTCTTTTTCAAATATGGTTGTTTAGGGAACCAAAATTGGTTCATCTATGGCATCACTCAACAAACTTTAAAGAGTGTAGTCTAAGAAACTAAGAGTTGTATAAAAAATTAGTCCATTTGCAGTCCAGTTTTCATGCATGCCAGCACAGTCTGAATTTACAACAGTAAACACTTCCTTCATCATGCACCTAAGTTTATCCATGTCTATGAGTTTCCTGCTGTTTAAAAATATCAGCGCCCCCCCCCCCATGTTTCAAAAGTTGTGATCGATCTCAAGGCAGATATCTTGACAGAAAATTAATGTAAACAGATATATGTGGTATATTATTTATTTTATTCACTTGTTCAAAGAATTCATTATACATTGAATAAAACACCTAAAAATACCTTTTGGTGAATAGTTTTTGAATTACATTGTTAATATATTATTGTATACAATATAACAGAAATTAAAAGGCAAATATATAATAATTTCTGATTGTTCAACATGAGGGATGTCTCTCTACAAAAAGTGTCCTTCGCCTTTTGTCACTTGTTTTTGTTTTGGTGCCATAAAGCCGTGATCATGTAAGGTACTGCAGAAAATGCTGTAAACTCCATGTGAGTCAGAGGGGTGATATAAGCATTCACATATTCAAATCTATCGAGTACTCTGGCCAATATCGGCCTGGATTGCATTTTAATCAAATTAAGACCAGACTAGACCTTAATCAACCATGTCAATCAAACTGTGGTGTTTAATTGATCATAGCTAGTTAGACTAGTCTAATGCTACTGTCGAACCATTCATGTGCATGTAAGTGTTTTGAGATTACCTAACTGGATGCAGTTTGAGGTATGATTTTGATTTATGCGGTGATATAGGCTAGCAGTTTGCATGGGATATTAATAAGTGGGGAATGAGCTGCCATTACATTAGCCTTTTAGCTCTAGTGCAAAACTAAAGAACCAAACCTCAGACACTAAATATGTTTTGAATGTTTGACTTGATTTTGAGGCGAGAGAAAAACTTAATTATTTTTAAAAATTAAAATTTTCACCAGACTTTTGCTTTGGAGTCCACCCATAGTTGGTGAAATTCATGCCTTGAGACATTGATGCACTCAGAGGTTGAATCTCTCCCCCTCCCCCGCTCTGACCACACCGCTCTCAGCTTCCTTCATGACCCTCTCAGTGTATCCGGAGACGTGGCTGCTCTCTCAGCACACATCCTTCAGTCTCCTGTGGGACCTGCCCTCTTCTCCAGAAACTCTCTCACTCTCTGCCAATCAGAACCTCTTTATTTAGCCAGGATATTTACAAATCTGTCATGTTGCTGTCAGCCGTGTGTTTGTCTAAGTACAAGAGGAGAAGTTAATGCCACTCAAGAGGAGGGGCAGCCATGATATGTCATGAGGAGGGAGAGTCAGGAGTGGCCCATAGGTCCTGTTTCAAAACTATTCAGTCATACCAGGCTCAAACAGAATGAAATCTCGATGGTATGAGTTTCAGGGGCATATCTGAAGAAAACAATATCTAAAAACAACAGAAATGTAAGCAATATATCTAATATTTCTCGTTATGAGTCTGTTGTAAGAATATTCAGCTCGTTTCCAGACACTTTTTAAGCATATAAGGTCTTATCTTTCATAAAATAAACTACAGCTAGTTCAAGCCAAGGTTGGGACTATTGGATTGATTAGTACATGTGACTGAGTACCATGTGAGAGTTATGTCAAATCCATTCTGTCACTTGATGCCTAAAATCCATCTTCTCTATCATGTGACACCATTCTTGGTCAATGCAGTTAATTAATGTGTAAATGTAACTGAATATGGACTCACAGTTGCTCACCATTTGTCCCCTTTGATCTATATATATATATATATATATATATATATATATATGGTCACTGTCCAAAGAAACAATGATAAATTGATAAATTGATAACTCTTACCTACCTCATTGAACAACATTGTGAAGATAACAGTTATCTATTTTTATTTTCACATCTCCTGACTCTTGACTAATTGGCCAGAAAAGATTTACAACAGCTTGTAGCTGCCTTGCTAACTTCAGCTTT